GAACTTGCCAAGCAACTGACAAAACCCCCTTGATCACATATCCAGAACTGCACTCTGCCTTCTGAATTAGGAGAGGAGGAAAGGGTAGAAAGCATTTGATTTATTTGATTATAATCTGTTTAACTCTTGAAATGCCCACACTGCACAAGGATTTCTCAACTAAGTCTTTAGTGTCGGGGACTGGGCACATGAAAAGAGATTAGGTATGCTTCTTCCTAGCTGCTCACAGTGAGCTATTATATATTACTCTTAAAGCCTGAAAAGGGTTCAAATGAACTGAATGGAGTGGGGAATCGACGACAAGAGGGCATGAGGCCCCAGCATCAGATGAAACTCTACTGATTGCTCCAGGGCACGTTCCCTCTTACCTGTTCTGAAATTTTCACATCAATACCCAAGCTGAGACAATAAAGGCAAGGTTTTCTCTCCAGATACTTCATTATGAAAACAGAGGGACGATAAGGGGGTTGAAGGCTGGCAATGACTTGTTTCTTGAAAGTCCACACTAAGAAACACATTTAAGCCTAAACCAAAAAAATGCAGAGAAGAGTGTTGGGGGCTGGACATAGGGCAGGTAAGGTCCATGTGGAAAAGGCTGCAGCAAGACTCCGCCAGTCCTCAGACACCTGCAGACTAGGGGCTGCCTTGGGCAAAGGCGAGTGTGATGAGGCGTGAAGGGATCTAAGAGGATGATCCCAAAGGCACGCTGAGGGGTAACAGTCTCCCCTAGCTCAGTGACTGCATCATTATTACCTGGACACCATCTGGACACTCTCGCAGCCTCCGCATCAATCAGTTGGTCCTGTGTGTTTTTTAATGCACCTCCTAAATCTCTCAAACCCATCGACCCCCCTCCACATCTACTACAGCTGCCCTAGGGCCCTACTTCTCACCTGGACTGCTGCAGCTGCCACCCCACTGGTCCCCTGAATCCTCGCTCGCCCCTCTGAACTCTATCCATGGGGTTTTATCACAATGTGGTCCTGCTCCAAACCTTTCACCGGCTCGCCATAGTTCTGTGTTATCTGATTTTACTTCCATCTCTGGCCCCTTTGCTTACCACCCTCCTGCTACATCCTCCTTTCTGAGGTTCTGTGAGGACCCTGTACCCAGGTCCCGAGATTCCGCACAGGTGGCACCTCACCTTTGCCCGGAGAGCTTCCGAACTATATCCTCTTTTGCCTAGATTTAAAATTCTTCAGAGCTCCAGAGCAAAATGCTACTTGCTTAGGAGCAGTTCTTTCCTTTCTAAGACAGTCTTTACTTTTCCTTTAAAGCACCCAGCTTTAATGCGATATTCATTTTATGATTTAGTAATGTGATTTTTCAAAAGACACGCCTCTCCACACACAAGCTCGGTGGAGCAGGGGCCGCACCTGCGCCACCCACCCCTGTATCTGTACCGCCCAGACGGGTGCTCGGCCCACTGAGAGCTTCAGAATGAACGAATCCTTTCTCCTTCTCACTCCCTTATTTTATCGCACATCCTTCCTCATCTCTCTGAAGATATATGAAGGCAGTAAACGAAAAATAATAAGAAATAGGACATATTATGAAAATGTCTAATCACTGTAAATAGTTAATAAATAAAGCAAGCAAATGCCCTAAATAATTAAATATGGAAAATACGCAGCCAAGTCCACTGTCTCGCTCCTGTCTCCCTTGGTGACTCCGCCCATCTCCAGGCGCTACCACTTCCATACAGATGCCTCCTACACAGGCATGGCAGGTCCAGCCTGCCCCTGAACCCGTGGCCAGCATTTCCACCTGTCTCCTTGGCCTGGCTATCCCAATGACACTTGAAACTCTAAATGCCCCAAACCAAATTCATCATCTTTCCTCAGTATAGCATCATATTAAGTTTCTTATTTTTATGACAACCACCATGGCAATTACCAGGTCATCCATGTTTGACACTTTCTGAGCCTTCTTTTCTAGGTCCCTATCAGTCAGTGGCCAAGCTCTAAAGATTTCGGCTCTAGAGCCACTTGTCTCTTCCCTTCTCCTTCCACTCCTTTCACAGAGGCTGAGGTCTTCATTATAGAAATGCCAGTCTCCTCCTCCGGCCCCACCTGTGTGTCCTCCCGCCATTAATTGAGCCTCGGCGCATCTCTGAGTGGGTCGCTCCCCTCCTGAGAAGTCTTGGAAAGAAGTATTATGCCACTAGCCATTTAACTCATATTCCCCTTGCCCGTTTTGATTAAAGTAAAAACCTCATATCCCTTCTGTACTTTATGTTACAGAAACAACAAGGTTTATTCCCATTCCTCAAATATAAAGCCGTGTAAGATTCAATGAGCTTCAAACTCTGAGATTTCAAGCTCACTACAGATCAGAAGCTCCCTGGAGTAGCTGGGAGGCACTCAATAAATGTGTATTAAATAAACTGCCACACCCTGACATTCAGGGTTGCTCAGCCGGTTTTCTAGTTTTGTGTCCTTCACCAGCCAAATTATCTCAGTGGTTTCCAAAGCCTGGTCCCAGGATGAGCAGCAGTGGATCACTGGGAACTCATTAGAAATGCAAATTCTCAGGCCCCGCCCTGGACCAACCGAATCAGAAACTCCAGGTGTAGAGCCTTGTGATTGTGTTTTTTTACAAGCACTCCAAGTGATCTGAGAGCGGCTCAAGTTTGAGGACCAAGTTTGAGAACCACGACTTAGACTAGTTGCTGTTGTGTAAATATGACTTCCTACCCCCATGACTCCCAATTCCTTCTTCCGAGGAACCTCTCAGACCCCCCCAATTCCAGCGCCAGCCAAGTGCTCAGTGTCTTTTTATGACCCAACGACCAAATACTCTTCTCGTGCACACACTATTTCATTGTCATTAGAAAATGCAAACTTATTCTTAGCAATAATGTTGATATTCCAAAAGTGTAAAGTGATTGACATTGAGCATATTTCTGGAGTAAATCATGTATCATCTCCCTCTCCCCATTTGAAACTCAGTACAAGTTTTTCTATTTTGGGGGCTCTTAAGAAGAGATCATTGTTTCAATTGCAAAGTTAGAAGAGTTAGAAGCTTTGAATTTAATGGTTTCAATTTTCCAGAGCTGAAGGGAGGTATTTTTTACTATTTATCTGGCCGGTTACTTAGTGTCCCGTCACACGATGGCTCCTGGGAGCCAGATGGGACCCTGGCTCACCTTCGAAGCAACTCGGGCAAGAGGGGACATGCCCCAGCAGGTGCACTCTCACGGGGGAGGAGGATTTAAGCCAGGAAGAAACAGAAATGGGTTTTTCAGGCTGAAGAGAATTCATCTTGTTTCCAAAAAAAACAAATGTAAAACTCCAAAAACATGAAATGCAGTAAGTTATGGATTTCCAAATAGAAATACAATTGAGCAATGTCTAAAAGGAAAAACCACGTAAACCCCCCCAATACAACTCACACACACTCATACACACTCATACCCAAAGGGCCATGAATGCAAGATAACAGAAGTTATTTATACGTTCTTTCCAGGATGTGGGATGCACTGTTGGTACTAGGATGACAGCTCATCACAGATGCGTGATGGGCAGCAAACCACCCAAATCCACAATCAGAGCAGGTTGCAGGCAGCTGTACATTATTACCTAGGCCAAGTTTCCATTTTCCGGAGAAGAAACAGTCCCAGATGGACTGCATACCTTGCCCAAGACCACAGACCGAAGCATCAGCAAAGCCTACACCTGCTCATTCTTAGACGGGAGGTCCTCTCATAACATCACTCTCAGGCCTGCCCGGAGCCGAGATCTGCTGGTGGCCACGGGAGCCACAGAGGAAAACAGTGTGTGTTCCGGTGACACCATTTGTTCTCATCAATCCATTTCATTACCTACTGGGTATATGAAATACCGTTACCAGCTCTCTGGCACGTCACTAACAAACTGTGAGAAAGCCTATGACAAGCTCAGGGCAAAAACATGGCTTCCAAGTCACGGTCATCTTCACATTGAGCTAGGGGCATAGAGAACTTAAAAATGTAACGAGCAAAACTCAGAACACAAAATAGAAGGATGGTTCTAACATATAGGCCCTGAGAGGGGTTAAGTGAAAGATAAAGAAAAATCTCCAGGAAGCTTTATTGCTTTCGCTTTGCAACTCTTAAAACACATGTTGAAACAATAAACTTTTAATTCCATGGCCAACAGGATCCTCTTTCCAGTTCTGGTTTTGGTAACTCCCAGATACAACACTTAACCTTATAATTCATTTTTAAAATATGGGTCAAGGGCCATTTTAATGAAATATCCAAAACCCCAGTGAGATAATTTTTAAATTGTAGAGTTTTAGAGATTGGAAAAACTTCTGAAACCACGTAAACCAATACTATCATTATATAAAAGAAAGAACTAAGATTTCTGACAGATACAACTTTAACACAACAGAAACTTTAATATTCCTTGGATTTAAGAGGCAGCACAAAAGCTTTCTGAATACTGTTACAATTTAAACACATTACCTATTTCTGGCTTGCTTGAAATATTGTTACACATTCTACTTTTAATATTTTTTGAACAGCAAATTAAAATAAAGCAAGATTTCATTGCTTAATTATTTTCAGGTTTCAAGAATTTAAAAAAATTGAATAATTGGGCAAGAAAATTTCAGTAATATAACTATGAAAAAACACTACTATGGACACAGGGGCGTTCCCCCCTAATATCCCAGCATGCCCTCATCCATAACACAGACCAGAACGCATCCCATAAAATACAGGAGAAAGTAACAGGTGAGAAAAGATAAATTTGTACAGAGAATGACTCTAATTTAAGAATTTCAAAAACATCGACCCTTTGATGGCTTAGAAACAAAGTCTTTAATATTGTCCATATTGCCAAAGAAACCAAAGCACAGAAAGTTAAAAATTGTAAAGCAGGGGCCTCCTTTATTCGGAGATTTCTATTTCTTTCTCTGGTAAAATTTGAGGAACTCCCTTTACTGAAGGGAAGAAAAATAAAGGGGGTCACGCACCTGTTCACAACAACCTGTGTGAAGACAGGCGAACATACCTGTTGTTGTTCCAACAGTTCCGACAGGCGGCGCACTCGGTGGGGTCCGTCTGCGGGACTGCTGCGTACCTGCCGCCGCCCTGGTCAGAGGGAAGCACAGGAGAAAAGAGCAGAGAGAGGGCTGAAGGCGCCATGGACCACAACCCGACTCTCCGCGACACACAGGCCATCGGCAATAAAGGGGTAACGGTGTGTCGTAACCTGCCCCCTGAGCAATGTTACGCTTCTCATGATTCGCCTATGTTCACAGAGGGCTTCTGCACACTGTTAACGCTGCACTCCAGAGGGGCAACCGCCATGTTGCCTGTGTATTTTTGTAGTGGCAGGAGGCAAAGAAACGGAGAAGGTTAGTCACTTCCCTCCAGGGTTTCAAGCCCAACGGGCCCGGCATGCACTGTATATCATAACTGCCTATTTGTCTTTGCTTTCCTAGCAGTCGTGGAAGAATTTTATGCGATGCCAGTTGGAGAAACAGAGTGGAAATGTCTGGATGATGTCATAAGTTAAACCCATCTTCATCTTCCTGTAATTACTTCGATTGGGTCTGTTCGCTTGACTATACTAAATTTTAAAACATGTTATATTTTTCCAGATGGAGTAGGTTCTCAGCCAGCAATGACTTGGAGGGAGTATTAATATTTTGGTGTAGCTTTTGGCGGAAACTGCACAGCAATTAAGAAAAATGCCCAGATTAACACATACCTCACTGTAAAACGTTCACATGACATTGCAACGGCAAGAGTTCTTACAAACTGAAGGTAATACTGGACCCACATGCGGTCAGGGCTGAAATTCTGCTCTCAGGTGAAAACCAGCAGAAGTGAATTTGATAAGGTTGGGTGGGGTGGGGGTGGGCTGTCACACTGCACCCAAATTCAGAGCAGGCCCGCAAGGTTAGGAAAAGTTCAGGCAATTGTTTTTTCCAGAATACTTTCCATTGCCGTTCATCTCAGACCAACAGCCAGAATCTAAGCAAACCAAAAACACTGCAAATTTCTCTCAACATTCTTGATCCAACTAGCAGCAGGAATTTTTAAGAAAACATTGAGAGAAAGAATATTCTTAGGCTATATTCAGCCCATGGTGGGTAAACTCGAGAGCTTCAGAAAATCAAGTTAACAGCTACAGGGTAATAAGCTTATTTGAATCATGAACCATATTAAAGTTAATTAATGGTTTTTATGATGACCATCATTTTTTAAATTTCCAGATTTCCTCCCACCCAGAAGAGTAGAGTAAGAAAACTAATGAGTTAATTTAGAGGTGATAGCCTCTAAAATTTTACACCTCATGGGTGACTATTAGTTAAATAGCAATTCATTGTTTGCAGAACCAAAGCGCCATGTTCAAACACTGGAGCAAACATCAGGCTTATTTTTTCCTTCTCATGGAAACATAATGTGCTATTCAGACTTGAATGCCCTCCCCTCCAATTTCTTGGATAATGTTAGTAGTTTGGACTAGGAATGGTGACAAAAAAGTTTAGGGGGCCTGAACATAAGCCACGTCTTTCCACACAAAATAATGAAATCATCATTCTTTTTTGGTAATGAGATGCAGTAAAGTAAATTAAGTATTTTTTATGCAACATACTAAAGCTAGGTCACACTAAAGCCATTAGATTTCTAGCTTTAAGATACATATACATATATTATTATTTTGTTCCCCAAATGTTGAATAAATCTTTATTAAAGTCGAAGATAAGAAGAAAACTAAACTTCTTCAAATTTTAGCACATTGTGGGTTATGGCAAATTTATCTGTAATCAGAACAATGACAAAAAATAACATTTGATCAACTAAAGTTATCTATTTAGTTGAAATAGAATGCGGATGTGTCTCCAAACCATGTCATAAGTCAAACTCCCTGGTGCAGAGAACCTCTTAAAACAAAATAAATTTAAAATAATGCTTCTCATTCTGTTACATTGTGCCAGCGAGTGATTCCTGAATTAGAGTGGTTTTAAAGGCTTCTCACCTCTTGTGGCAAAGATATTAATACTGTAAAATACAAAAGCCTTCCAAGCAACCACGACAGCACACGCTGGGAAAACAAACCGAAGCAACTCACAGGGTGTTAGGAGTTGGTCTGGCGGCCTGCAGATGCTGTCTGCGTGGTGTATGCAGTGATATCAAGAACTGGAATGAGTTTCCAAAACTCATTAGTTGTAGAAATCCTGGCAGTTTCATCTACATTTACAGATGTTTTGGAAAAGCAGGCAGTCCGGACAAACTGGGCCCTGCACACCCACAGCAGGAGCTGAACCGCGGAGGCTGCTCTCGCTCCGCACGCCTGCTCTCAGGGAGCTGGTGCCTCCATGGCTCCTGCCTCCTTCCCACCTGTTCATCTCAGGGTCATGATCTGCCTGACTCCTCTAGTGACGGGAGTGTTTAGACCTTGCTCTAAATAAATCGAATGTTAAGTATCTGGTTCAGGCTTCACCCAGTGGTATTTCCACTTCACTTTAAGAATAAGTTCCAGTGTGTTTGCTACATGTTCTACTTGCGGTGCTTAATAATTTAAAAATATACACCAAATTGAAGAACATATCTGTTACCAGCTAACAAAAATCTTACATTACTGTGGATCAAGGGGTTGCCAGGGACACAGACTAACCCCATTCCAGCGAACCAGCGAGGTTCCCGTATTAAAGAAGCCCAGCCTGCCCACCTGCTCTTGGGCCTCGGCACCGTGGGCCACAGGGATGGTTTCATTTAGAAGGGGTCTCTTACATTCACCAGATGATGAGGATGTTCAAAGTCCGCACGTGTCCTGGTTAGAGAGCTCGCGTGCCCAGGGTAAAGACCTCCGTTGAGGCTCCCATTCCCAATCCCAGTGACTCCGTTCGGGACCTTATGGTAGAGATGGGAGCAGCCGTTGCTGAGCCCACCGTTGCTCAGGAAGCTGCCGTGCACACTTCCGTTCATCCGCTTCGTGCCAGGCAGAGCTGCGTACTCCACCATCTGCCCGGTGATATCTGAGCCTTGGCAGAGGTACCCTGGGGGGTCGTATTCTGTTCAGAGAGAACAACAATGAAAAGACACTGAAAAGGACAATCTTGCTTAGGAACTTTTATTAATAGAACCACTAAGAAACTACAAACACACTAAAATCAAACATTCTCAAAGTGTTCAAAGGTGAAAGCCTACTTGTGAGAGATGCTTTAATAAAGTTATTGCTGTTGTCTCCTTTACTGTGTGGAGGTATCTAGGAACTATGAGCTAATTATGACCCTGTTAATGAGAGGAGAAATTAACCAGAGAGCAATTACTCAAAAGAGAATTAATAAATCGTGCAAGCTGAAACTATTGAAGTACTGGCAACACGAAGTGTTTCAACTGCCACACACTTCAAATTGATGAAATAAATGGTATAAAACAACAAAAAACTAACTATAGGCAGGATGTTTCAAATAGCAATAAATAACACTTACAAGGAAAAGGATGGAGTTGCTCATACATTGACTGACTATTCGCGGTTCCTTGGTTACTGGAGCCCCTTTGGAAGTTGGGAGGGACTGAAGCCAAAGGGCTAATTCTTCCGTTTTCTTATATTAAATCCCCTTAAACAACTGCCTCAAAATTCTGATTTCCAGAGGTGTATTTAGAAAAAGTAAAATATCCCTTAGAAAGGAGCGTCTAAGTTGTACAGGATTAGTCGTCGGAGTTTTGACAAATTCTTCCACGGTAGCGAAGTGCACCCAGACCGGACTCAGACGCCCCCCCCCTCCTCCGCTGCCCCTCCTGCCCGGATCTGCTGCTGCTGTCAGTCCGCCTGCTCACCCCCGCCCTGGTCTACACGCTGAGAGGGCAGGGGCCACGCTGACCTCATTTACCTTCATGTTGCCACTGCCGACCCTGTGCCAGGCACACGCAAGATGGGCAACGCAGACCTTCTGAATGCATGGCTGAATGGACATCGCTAGTTTAAATTTCCATTTTTCAACATATTATTAAGTCAACAGATAATGACTGTAACCAGACTGATCTTGCTCAGGCAACCAAATCATCACTTCCCTTTTAATAATTCAGCACACATTCACCCAATTAAAGCCAATGACATTAAAAACATTTAGAAAACGTCCCAGTGAAATGACCTGCAGCCCCTGCAGCCTCGCACTGCCGCCACACTGCCTCCCCCGAGTGTCTCCTGGATGGCACCACGTCAGCAAGATCACTCGATTTGTAAACTACAACGGGGCCGTCTGTGAGAACTGGCTGACGGATGCTGAAGCGCCTGGTACTGCTGGTGTCTTCCTTGGCTTTGCTTTCGTTCTCTTATTCCGGGTCAAAGGGAACCCCTAAACTTCCTTCCATCAAAGACGAAAGCCCCTGGTTGACCCGCGGACCCTACTGTGTAACAGCTGGGGGAACTGGACAGGTAGGAAGGTGAGAGGCAGAGAGCTGGGCAAAGAAAGAGCGAAACTGCGACATGGTTTTAGCACAGTGCCGGCTCCGACCCCAGCTCTCTGGTCACTACGTGTGTTTAGGGGGAGGGATGGCCACGGGGGTAGTTTGTGTCCATTTCAGTACCACAATGGGACTGTGTTACCTAATTTGTGTCATTTGGGGACAGTGACTTAACCTAGAAAGCCTTCTCTGCCTTCCTTTCCGGCCTGCCTGTCCTGTTCCCCGGCGATGAGCTGTGTACAGTGTGAAGGTGTCCCTGCGGCGACAGCGGAGCCCGCGCTGCAGGGACCGTCTTTGGTGGTCTGACGAAGCCAGAGTTTCCCAGCACGAAGCCAGCTATTTACTCAGAGGCCGGCTTAGCTTTGGCTTCGTTGTTTATTTCCACTGGGCCATTGACTCTGATGCTCCACTTACTTTGGTTGACAGCTGAAACGGTTTTAAAGTCACCTCCTCTGAATGAAGAGCAGCTTACGTGTCTAATGCCACGACACTGATACACAGAATGGCTGGAAATCAATATTTACTCTGACAAGATGTGCCTAGGCATCATTTTGAAAGAAGAGAAGGAAATGTTTGGGAACGCCTTACTCTGGATGGTACTCTGCTGGCGGTTCTTCCACAGGCACATGGCGATGAAGACCATGAGAATGAGCACCATCACCCCCAGCACACAGCCCACTATCAGGTACAGCATGTCACTGCTTCTGGTGGGGCTGGTCGCGGGCCCCACATGGCCCCCACCTCCAGAAGAACTGGGCGGGGTGCTCAGGTCTTTGACAGGATACTCGGAAGCTCCAGGGACACGTTTCACTAGTTGAAATATAAAGGAAAATATGACGTCAGAGTGCATACAGACTCCGTGAAATGGTTTACTCTCTGAAGGAGGTCTGGTCGGGGATGTAAGCCAGTCTGTTTATGCTTGTTACTGAGACGATCTGACCACCAATGAGTCACAAGGAGGGCTCAGAAGTTTCAAAACCTGATGTGCCAAAGTTGTAGCCGGCAAATTCTAGAGAAAGCATAACATCAGAGAAACATGTGCACTTCAGCTAACCCACACTGACGATGATCTGCTCAACCGTCCTTGTAAACGACTGCCAGAGAGTCGGAACGAAAGCACTTCAATTTACGGGTAGGACAAGCACTGCTTTCAATCCGACATACTCGGAGCTGAAGTTGATTCAGAATTACATGTTTTATGCCTCCACCATGTGATTAATATTAGTAGATATGACTTTGGACTATTAGAACCATTATATATAGTCCCCCAAAACCTCACACAAAAATACTAAGCATTCCTACAGCAACAAGTTCCGGAGTTCACAGAAATGCGGTACTTTGCCCCACTTCACTGATATCAGAGTGATGACAAAAGCTAACAACAGGGGAACTCAAACCCCCTTTTTCTCTGTCCCCAAACAGCATGCTCTTTGTGCCTTAAATGTCATGGAAAAGCAGCAGGGCAGAGGGGTGACGGCCTGGCCTCTGGGAGCAGACCGCCCAGGTCCTAGTCCGGCCCCACCACGTATCCACAGCTGTCTGACTTCCACCTCCAGGAACAGTCTCCACATGTGGAAAATGGGGGTAATGAGAGCAGCCCCATCACAAGGTTGTGACGAAGAGGAAAACAAGTTCATCCGTGCAAAGCACTGAGACTGGAGCCCCACACAAGGCAGCGTTCAGCTCTGTTAGGACGGTGACTCGTTCATTATACTGTGTTTCATGTTACGGCACCTAAGGACCCACACGAGCGGAGTGGGCTTTTAAAGAATCTACTCCAACATGATACCCGAGTTCCACTTTCTAGCAACTCGGACCAGACAGAGCAGAGCTGGGAACTGCACAGGAGAGGCCGCCTTTCCGAGGAAAGAGCGCTGCGTCCCTGAGAGCTGCATGAAGACTTGGCGGAGCCTCTAAAGGAAATCATGGTATGTTGGATTAAACAATCCTCAGGTCCCTGCCAACGCTAAAGAAAACAAACAAGTTTCTGAGGCAAAATGGATGTTAGAGATTATGCATTAAAGACCATGATGACTCATAGGGAAGTCCTTCGATTTCTTCACTCTTTATTTACCCTTACTTTGTTCAAAAATTCTACCAAGCTTAACGATCTGGTTGCCAGCCTCGGGCTAAAGTTAAAAACTTTTGCAGTGACGAGGCAGACACGCCCATTAGCACCAGTAAAAGACAGCTCAGAGTGTGAGATAACAAAGGTGACTCGAGAAACATAAAGGCAGTGGAACGCAGTCTCACATACACATGGACTGATGCCGAAAAACATGAAGAGAATCAGAGAACTAAAGAAAATCTTGGCAGTCTACGATCTTGGGGGTGAGGGAGGCAAGGATGGGCCTTCAGCACCTCGGGCATTCCCCCAAACCTTCCTGAATTACTAAAGATGAGACAATCATTGTTCATGAGAACCTCGAGTCACTTCTTTCAAAGGTGAATTTGTATCTAATACAATTTAAACACACTAGGAGCTGTGTAAAGTCATTAGACACATTAGAAAATCATTTGACACAGACAGTTAACATTTACAGAAGGTTTTCGTGTTGCACTGATCTGAGCATCTGTGAGTATGACCTCTAAGTCCCCAGCAAGGTCAATGCGTGAAGCAGGCTATGATAGACCCGGCTCTGCTATAATATTATTTAAACAACACAGCTATTCCACTGCTGTCTGTATTTTGTGTTTTGCATGGCTAGACTCTTAAATGTTTTGGAGACAGAAATGATAAATTTCAGGAAAATAAGAAACCCCCATTAACACACCAAAGTGTCTGATACGAAGAAGCACTTCAATATGCGCTAATCAAATACAATGCAAAGTAAGTCTAGAGGTTTACCTATGTACAGGCTTAAACGTTGATGTAATGTGTGGGTCTGCAACAGGAAGACGCATGATTTAGAACCACAAGACAGAACTAAGTCTTGGCTTAATAGTTCAAATTTTGGACCCTTAGTCTCCTCATTTTTAATCAGGATACTAAAGTCACCTGCAGCAGATGCCAAAGGCTGCCCGGTCCGTCCAATAGCCTCATTCTCCCATGCTCTCAGGCTCCCCAATTTTGTCCACTGAACCCCACGGAATCTGGAGTAGATCCTGATCCGTCATCCATACTGGGAATAGGCTGGGAGGCATGTGACTGAGTTTTGGCCAGTGAGACATTGGGGGAGCTGGGGCATCTACTAGAGGACTCTGGGAAATTTACCCTGGTTCTTAAAAATAGACATAAGGGAAAATGTGTCTTCTTCGGTCAGATGAATTGAGATTGATCACGAGTGCTTCTGATTTGTATCCACATTGGCTGTTTCTAACACATCTTCTGTTTTTAAAGATGGTAGTATTTCAGTTCATCTGTGTGTATAGGCAGGTCGAGAATTTCAACTGAGAATTAGTGACTGCTAATTCTCACCTTCATGACTATCCTTAATTAAACAAGCTGTGTTAGACATATCTGCCACTCTAGAAACCACTTTAAACATAACGTTGCACTTATCCTTAAAACCCTTACAGATTTTGTGCAGCATCCTAATTCTCACGGCAGTCTCAGACACAGCCAGCAGACATCTCTGGTCTCCCGATGGGGAAAAGCGGAAGGGAAGCGGCTCACTCAGAGTGACAATCAATAAAGTGATCAATGCCTCTGCAAACTCCTTTTTGGACACGTGCTCTAGCCAACACGTCCTACTTTTGTTCGGACAGTCTACACGTACACAGTGAGGAAAAGGCCCAGCGTCGTGGTTCCTGAGCAGTGATCCAGAGCTTGGAGTTCCGGCCCTGCCCAGGGGGAGAGCACCAATTCCCGCCCCCGCTCACCTTTCGTCTCACAGATCATCACGTTACTAAAGTCACTTTCGCCCCCTTCGTTGAAGCACTGCATTTTAATATCATAGGAGGTCTCCGGCTGCAGATGTCCGATCGTGTGCCACTGCTTCGAGCCTAGACGGGAAAATAAAAGAGGCGCTGCACGTACCACACAACCTAAATGAGGCCGTTACTACAATGAATGACCTGATGATTTCAGACTGCGGTTGGGGCAGCACCCATGACCAGTCAGTGTGTGTGATGCAAACATACTTAACGCAAGTATTTCAGTAATGCGCCGCAGATAAACCGTATTTCTATTGCATGGCTTGAAAAACAATGATAAAGAGATAAACAATTAAAGCTACACCTGTGTGTTGATAGTAAAACTGTTCCATTACAAATAATTACTGAGCCTTTTGCAAAATACATATTAACATTTTACAGAGGTAAAAAGAACCCTCAGGTACTCTGATCCTCTGTTTTGGCCCAACTCAATCCATTCTGTGCACCTAGGGGGAATGTTATATGTGAGATTGGCCCATGGTGCCTTTCCCAGAACATGTGACCATTTACAACACAGGCCTTAGCCACACTCTCCATTCCATTGTAGTGAACTCGACATGAACTGACATACAAACAGACGCCTGAATAAATAGTTCAAAATAATCAAAAAGCAAAATCCACCACAGGAAACATTGGCTACTCCTCCTGCTGCTTCTTTTCTCTCGGGTCAGGGTCCCCAAACCACAGGAGCCTCTCTCACAGAGCGATTCTGTGATTCACGGCGCACGGCCAGCGTTTCATTTAGAAACTCCCCTCAGCTGAACGCTCCAGTATAAATCACTCTCCATTTTTACTTCTATGGGCCCGTGACGAACTTTAATAAATAGAACACTTCTGCCAAATTTAATTAACTCTTCAAGTACCTTTAATCCCTCTTAGAGAATACCTCTTCAAACTGTTTCCACTATGCCTTAGAAACTCAACTATACCACCAACTGATTTAAGAACTAATTAAAGGGGCAGTAAAAAAAATCCCCACGTACATAGGTCAGATCTGTTTGGCTGACGGGACGATAGCACCAGGCTCCTTTCCAATTCAACACAGACAAAAATATTCCTATCTGGAAACACAGCCCCTGCCCCAGGCCACTGACACAAACCCCGCCTCCCTCATGAAAACCTGTATTTTATGAGATAAAAACACGTTTGTTTTAGGATCAAGGAACTCCAAAACAGGTTTCCAAGTGAGGAAATCTATGCCCCATTTATAAATGTAAAGGGAACCTTAAAAGAAACTTGACTCAAAATCTGGTTGCAACTAGAAGAGACCTATTTCTAAATTCCAAAATCTTTCTTAAAAACTTCTATTTTTTCTTTACCCCCAGGTCTTACCTAGCTCAGCCCTACTCTTACCTAATTATAAACATTCTCTTGAACGTTTACTACACTAGATTTAAAATTTTCCTTTCATAGTGTAAAATGGAATTATACTAAGCTTCTGGTATGTTACTAATAAGAGAAAAGTTAAATTAAGAGATTAATATTCCATTGCATTATTAGGTTGAAAATCAAAAGGCAATTTTCTCCTCAAAGGACATTTTACAGAAGGTGAAAAGCCAAAAGCACACACTTAAAGATCAAATGGCTGATTATGCTGATTTATTTGAAACCGAACTTCACTTTGTAAGATAAAAATATCCAGAAAGAAAGCATTAGGATGCTAGAAACATTTACAGTTTGTCTAAATGTGGAACTTAATCCAGAAATAGGATAACTTAATATAATTGTCCTCTTACTGTATTCTTTAACAATGTGAGTTCCACATTTTTTTTCAAAAGCTTAAACAATTTTGAGTCAGTACACATAAGTAATCTAAACCTTTCCTTTAAAGACAGCTTTACGTTCAAAGGATAAACACTTTTGTTCGTTGGTTTGGGAGAACAGGCCGATAGTTGCTAACTGCCACAAAAAGAATTCCAAATGCATAAACTTGAAAATAAGAAATAAGCAAATTACACAGCACAGTGAAGCCCACTTAAACATCTGACTGCTCCATCTATTCCGTTTGTAAACAAGCTCTCGGGGAATCGCCAGGCTGAACGCACATTCCCAGACTCGACTACTGGGCACAAAAGCTCTTCTGAAGTCAATTCCCAGTTCCACACTCAATACTCACGTCACACCGGCTTGTAAAAGTTCACAGGTCTAACTGCAGAATAGAGCTGAAAACTGTTTATCAGTGGTTCTAGAGAGAACCAGGAGGGGTGGGGAGACAGCGAGAGACAGAGAGGGGTTTACATTCGCCTTGTTTAAAACTATTTGAGCAAATGTTTAACCTCTGTCCAAAGATTTCAAAAGTGAAAACCTGAGAGTCCTGTTCTCCCACCCCGGCTAAACTAAAATGAAAGCTTCACTAGGACTAAACTGAATGAACAATTCTTTCCATTTCTCTTTTGAAACAGCTCTTCTTTGTGAAGTCAAATATGTAAGGAGAAGTGCCCAGCACTGTACAGCTCACTGAACGGCCACAAACTGGCCGCACTACCTGAGTCCCCGGCACCCGAGGACCCTCCGCCTGGTCCTTCTGGATGCTTCTTCCAGGCCCGCCTCCCTCGAGGTGGCTCCTGTGTCGACTTCACCGATTGTTTTGCTACTAACAATGATCTTTCTACATTTCCTCAATTCCTTATGTTTCAAGCAAACTTTAGGGACTGATTTCTATTTTTTGGGATTAAGGAACAACTTCATTCAATAAATATTTACTGAGCATCTACTACGTGCCAGGAATTAAAAGTCAGATGATACATCTTTCACTACGTTACAAAGGTAATTCTATCGGATAAACACAAAAGGAAAGCTACAATATTTAAAGAAATGTGATCTGTAGAACATATTTCAAGTAATTTATTATAAGACTACTTATAACAAAAACTATATGCAGTATTAGTTGTCAGGAGGGCATATGAAAATAAGCTTGGCCAGGGCAATTCTTCTGACACGGTCCATTAGGACATCAATATTTCAAAGACTCTTGGAGTGAAAAAAACCCTTGAAAGAAGCCTTCCTCCCAAAGCAAGAATCCCTTCCAAGATACTACTGAGAGCGCTTCCAAAACTAGGGGGTTTATTATTTTACAAGAAAACCTGTGTCAGAAATGCTATGTGAGACGGTTCTTCCTTTACACTCTTTCGTCTCAACTGCTTCTCTCCCAAATGCCTGAGTTCTTCTTCCACCTGGCAGTCTATGAATATCTGAAGACAACTCTCATGTTGCTTGTTAGTCAGCTTTTTCCCAGCCTGATTGCCCTGGACATTCCATTGTTTTTTTGAACGCCATTCATTCATTCAATAGTAAACCCTTCACCATCGTATGGACTGGGGATACAGCACTGGGAAAAAGGCCCCCTGCCCACAGGAGGTTAACATTCAGTAGGGGACAAACTTCAAGCAAATAATTTCATACATACATGCACACATACATAATTTCATACACACATACATACATCTATGATAAATTCCTATGAAATATAAAGCATGTGATTAGAAATTAAGTGGGAGGAGGGTAACTGAGGAAGAAATATTTGAGCACACAGCAGAGAAAAGGAGAGTCCCAAGATAAGGCCTCGGGAGATGAGCAGGGATGGCCTCCTGCCACGGTCCTGAGGCAAGAAAGCTCTTGGTGCAACACAAGGAGACTGAAGGAAGGCCCGAGTGTGACAGACGACAGAGTGAGAAAGGAGGTGTGTGAGGCAGGGCTGCGGGTGTGGCAGGGCCGGCCAGATCACCTGGGGCCTTCGGACCATAAGCAAAGTTCTGGGTTATACCGTAAACACAGAAGAAAGGCAGTTTCAATGCCCTTCCCCAGAATGGTGATTTTTTTTCTCTGCATACATTCCACTTTCCCAGCATCTCTGAGAGGACAACATGCTCAAGATGCAATCTTTCTCATACAACTCCAGAGGAACCGGAGACGGAGACATCACTTTTAAAAAATACAGCTAGAAGTCCCAGCTGATTTTCATACATAGCTGACCGTTCATTTAAACAAAAATTATTTGCAGATGAACTACTAACACATCCTATCTCCCCCACACTTTTGTAGCTGACAGTTTTCAAAACCAAAATGTAAGCTACTATATATATTAAGGTGAAAAAATTACTGTTCTTTAGAAAACATTACAAGTAATAGTACATGTACTATTTAATTTCACTGTATCTTAACTTAAGATTATGTTTTTCATATTTATAAGCCCTCTCCCTCCAAAGTTCCTTCACAGGAACTCCAGCTTGCCAGTGGGTCTTACCTTCAACAATGTCCCTCTTGTAATCACTGTCATTGTCACTATCTGTTGGCCGGTAATAAATATAAAATCCTTGAATGGGAGTGTCATTGTTAATTGATGGAATGTACTAAAAAAGAGAAGCAAAAGCTTGTCAAAGACAAAAAGAAATTAAACTTTCAAGTCCATTAGGATTTATTTATGTGTGTGGTAATATTTCTCTAGATTCATTTTGCAAATATCTTTGATGGCCATTTTAAATTTAATTCAAGAGTACTGCCCTGGCTGGTGTAGCTCAGTGGATTGAGCATGGGCCTGTGAGTCTCGTGTCCTAGTCTGGTGGCAGGCCCTGCAGGCCAGTTCCCTGCAGGGGTGCCTAGAGCAACATATTGATGTTTCTCTCCCTCTCTCCTTCCCCTCTAAAGATAAATAAATTTAAGAGTACTCAAAGGTATTAATGACATTTAGTTTACTGCAGGGCTCATAAAAAATAAAGCAATATATTTTACAAGGTTCAAAGGCATAAAAACACATTTGTTTTAGAATGAATAAATTATGAAGTGGCAATTAATTTAACCCTTGGAGGAGAGCTGAGGTACAATAATTTTATTTTTAACCTGCCCCATTTATAATATGTGCTTTTTAGACAAATATGTGTGTCCTTGAATTTCCTCACTTTAAAGTGCAAAACTTCGCTGTTCATTGTATCATGTGATGAGAATGTGAAACTGTCAACAAGGCCGAACAGAGAACTTGGGTGTCAGGGAGATCGCTTCACTCACCGTCCACTTGAGCATGATCTGAGTGTCGCTGACGGCCTCGGTGTACACAATGTGAGGGCCGGCCACAGGGCGGCTGGAGTAGCGGTTGGGGAACCCTGCCACCTGATAAGGACGAGATGCCGAGCTCCGAAAACTCTCACCATAATGGTTGATAGCAATGACTCTGAATTTGTATGTTGAACCTTTTGAGAAGATAAAAACACCCAGAATTTTAAAAAGCTGTGATAAGACCACTGAAGGTACAATACTCAAAATGAGGCAGTGGTGCTGTACCAATAATATCCTCTGAAGCCTGTATGGTTCATAGATTTCAACCCACTTGTCAACTTCTACTGACTGGTGGTAGGTGCTCAACAGACTGTGTTCAAAATTTCAAACCTAAACACTATGAGAGACTAATGATGTCTGTCAGGGAAGGGAGTGGGCAGAGAACAGGAAAGAGCACATTAGCTCCTCTTAACATCCAGTTCTCACACCCATCCAATACAGTATTAGCTGAAGTACCTGTGAGCAAAACCAGGGTTTTTTCCCTCGAAAAGAAACAACTGAAGCAAGTTTGACATGGTGAATCCATTTACAAAGAGGTGCTGTGTGGGTTATGTCACTCTGATTTCACCAGTAACAAGATGAGAGGGAGGAGATTTAAACTACAACAGAACTGACTTCCGCCAAGATGGAGGCATAGGTGGAGATGCCTTGCTTTCTCACACAACCAAGTTTAGAGTCAACTAAATATTAGCAACAGAAAACACAGCCAGAACACAGAAAATTGAACTTTTTGGAAGTCTGATAACAACAAATTCTTCAGCCTGACCGGTGGGGGCTGAAACCCGTCGCTGGCAGAGCATGGTTGCACAAGAAAACTCGGTCAGACGGACTCAGGCACGCGGAACCCAGGCGCAGGGTTGCAACGGGTGGACCTAGTGAGCGACCGAGCGAGCAACCGCAGGGAACCAGCAAGGGAGCAGGGCCGAGATTTGACTGTGGTCGCACATTTGTGCGCAGATAGACCAGCGAGGGAGTGGGTGGTTAGACGGGACCCAGCAGGCCCCAGTGGGGAGCAGCAGCAGAGGGCGCCGCCATTTCCCTGCTCTGACCCCGCCTCCACATACAGCGTCATAACCCAGCAACCTAAGTGGCCCTGCCCTGGTGAACTACCTAAGGCTCTGCTCCTCACTCAGCAGCGCAAAATGGCAGAGGGTGCCACCATTTCCCTGCTCTGACCACGCCCCCACATACAGCATCACAACCGAGTGACCTGGGAGTCCAAGGCTCCACTCCTCATACTTAAAGGGTGCGAACAGACCAAAAATGGCTCAAGAAGATCTCAGAGCCTCAGAGCCTATAAATCTAAGCGATGAAGAAATAGCAAAACTCTCAGATGCACAGTTTAAAACACTGGTGATCAAGATGCTCACAGATCTGGTTGATTATAGCCACAAATTAGAGGAACATATGAAGGTTAAACTAATTGAAATGAATGGAATTGCACAGGAAACTAACAGCAATGAAGAGGAAACTGGGACTCAAATTAATGGAGTGGACCAGAAGAAAGCAAATAATGGCCAAACAGAAAAGAGTGAAGAAGCAAGAATTCAAAAAAATGAGGAGAGTCTTAGGAACCTCCAGGACATCTTTAAACGCTCCAACATCCGAATTATAGGGGTACCAGAAGGGGGAAAGGAACAGCCACCAGTGGAAAACGTATTTGAACAAATAATAAAGGAGAATTTCCCCAATCTGACAAAGGAAATAGACTTCCAGGAAATCCAGGAAGCTCAGAGAGTCCCAAAGAAGTTGGACCCAAGAAGAAACACACCAAGGTACATCATAATTATATTAGCCAAGATTAAAATGAAGGAGAGAATCCTAGAAGCAGCAAGAGTGAAGGGGACAGCCACCTAGAAAGGAGTTCCCATCAGACTGTCAGCAGATTTCTCAAAAGAGACCTTACAGGCAAGAAGGGGCTGGAAAGAGGTATTCCAAGTCATGAAATCCAAAGACCTACAACCAAGATTGATCTACCCAGCAAAACTTTCATTTAGAATGGAAGGACAGATAAAGTGCTTCTCAGATAAGATCAAATTCAAGGAGTTCATCATCACCAAGCCCTTATTATATGAAATGTTAAAGGGACTTATCTAAGAAAAAGAAGTTAAAAAAACATGAACAGTGAAAGGACAGCAAACTCACAGTTATTAAGAACCACACCTAAAACAAAAGCAAACTAAAAGGACAGCTAGATCAGGAGTGGAAACATAGAAATGAAGATCTCAAGGAGGGTTAACAACAGGGGAGTGGGAGGAGGAGAAGGGGGGGAGAAAGTACAGAAAATAAGTAGCATAGATGGTAGATAGAAAATAGATGGGGGCAAGAATAGTATAGGAAACATAGAATCTAAAGAACTTGAGACACGTGGTCATAAACTAAAGGAGGGAATAGTGGGGGAGGGGGTGTGCAGGGTGGAGGGGAATGAAGGGGGGGAATAGAACAACTGTAATGGCATAATCAATAAAAAAATAAAATAAAATAAAATAAACCACAACAGAAGATACTTACTTGTATTAGATTTAAGAACTTAAAAAAAAACACTAAGGGTGGTGAGTTTCTAAAAATCTGGAATCTAAAAAATAAATAAGGCCCCTAAAGCAAGTTTCATAATAGCTCAAAGATAACCACTGGACTTCTGGAGACCATGGTTTCCATCTGAAAAATATCACTTAGCTTCACACAGATTTAAAACTGTCACCTTCTTGATGGGTTTTGAGTTGAGATGATGAAGTAGGCAAATGCTGTGCCAGTGTCCTCCCATGGCCACATCAAAATTACAAGTACACAACAGAAAAACCATCATTGAGAACAGCCTAAAATCTAGCTGAACAGAAGCTCCACAGCTAAGGATACACAGAAGAATCCGCACTGAGACTGGTAGGGGGAGCAGGGGCACGGAACAGGCTGGACCCACATCCACATGTGGCGGTTAAACTTCAGGAGGGATATCTCAGCTGCAGAGACAACGTAATACATACCAACATCTGCATTATGAGGGTACCAAAAGGAGAAGACAGAGAGCAAGGGGTTGAGAACCTAGTTGAAAAAATAATGACTAAAAATTTCCCTAACCTGGTGAAGGAAAAAGACACACAAGTCCAAGAAGTGTAGAGTCCCAAACAAGATGAACCCAAAGAGGTTCACACATTATAATTAAAATGTCAAAGCTTAAAGACAAAAAGAACCTTAAAAGTAGCAAGAGGAAAACAGGTAGTTACCTACAAAGGAGCTCCCATAAGACCATTAGCTGATATCCCAACAGAAACTGCAGGCTAGAAGGCATTGGCATGAAACATTCAAAGTGATGAAAAGCAAGGACCTAAACCAAATCTACTCAACCCAGAAACCTATGATTTACAATTAAAGTCAGAGGAAGAGCTTCCCAGACAAGAAATAGCTATTACAAGAAATGTTAAAGGGCCTTTTTAAAGAAGATAAATAATATAAATAATAAAATTGCAATAAATATGTATTGGTAAACAATTACTTTTAATGCAAATGGATTAAATACTCCAATCGAAAGACACAGGGTGGCTGAAGGGATAAGAAAACAAGACCCTAACACATATGCTGTCTACAAGAGACCCACCTCAGAGCAAATGACACACACAGACAAAAAGTAAAGGACTGAAAAAAGACATTTCATGAAAATGGAAACAAAATAAGAAAGGTGGAGTAGCAATACTTATTCCAGACAAAACAGATTTTAAAATAAAGGATATAACAGGAGACAAAAAAGGACCCAGCAATCCCACTTCTGGGTATTTATACAAAGAAACCCCAAACACTAAATTAGAAGGACATATGTGCCCCCGTGTTCACTGCAGCACTATTCACAATAGCCAAGATATGGAAGCAACCTGAGTGTCTGTCAAGAGATGAGTGGAGGAAGAACGGGTGCAGACATGCAACGGAATATGACTCAGCCACAAAACAGAACGAGAACTTGCACTGCAACGGCACAGATGGACTCAGAGGGTACCGTGCTGAGTGAAGTAAGTCAGACAGAGAAAGACAAATACCATATGATTTCACTTATATGTGGAATCTAAAAAAATACATGAATGAGAACAGAAACAGACTCACTGAAACAGAGAACATTTTGGCAGCTGCCAAATGGGATGAGGGGATGAGGACTGAGGGGATGAGGATTGAGGGGATGGGTGAAGAAGGTGAAGGGACTAAGAAGTACAAATGGGCAGTCACAGAACGGTCATGGGGATGTGAAGTGCAGCACAGGGAATACGGTCAATAACATTGTAACTATGTGTGGTGTCAGGTGGGTTGTAGATTTACTAGGCTCATCATTTCATAAGCTATATAAATATCTGCTCACTAGGTTTTACACCTTAAATTGATATAATATTGTATATTAACTGTAATTGAAAAATAAAAAATTATTTTTAAAAAACCTGCCACCTTCTCCCAACTATACCTACGTCACGTCCCTAGGTTCTTATGTTGCCTGTTTAGACAAACGCAGGCGTTTGCTGCTGAAATACATGTACAAGTCCACAAACCAAAGTGGTTGTGAGACGTACACAGGTAAAATGTATTTGTCTTTTGCAGTTTAATTTTTCCACAAAGCCTCAAGATACTGGGCGTGGGGAGCGCTGCTCCGCTGGAACAGGACTTACAGGGCACGGCATTCGGTGCCACCTCATTTCCCTGAGAATAAGCACCAAGTGTCACTAGGCTGAGATGTATCAGCAGATCACACAACTGTCGCCAGGTAACGACTCTCCTCTTAAAACACTCATTCATACCAAATCGCATACACGAGTGCAAAGATGCTACCACAACACTGCTTCTACTCATCTGCAGTTAGAAACCATCGGAAACCCAGAAATACAAAATGGGTTAAGTGAATTATGGTATACTTATTTGGCAGAAACACAGTTATTAAAAGCTGAGTTTTTTAGGAATTTTTAATGATAGTGAACAATGCATATAGGATATAATACGGGGAAAAGGGAGTCACAGAGCAATGTTTATGACATGATCCTAGTTTATATTAAAAGGAAAAAAGACACTCAAATATAAATAATGATTGTATTTGGATAGGTGGGTTTCAGGTGACTTGCTCTCTTCTTCATATTTTATTTTCAAAGTTTTACACAATAAGCTAGCATTATTTTAGCAATTAAAACTATACAGTTATTGAAAATATGCAGCAAAAGTCAGCACTGATGATTAAAAAAAGAAAATGTTTCAATATCACTACCTGGTTCTAAAGTTCGAACTTCCACTGAGAGTTTGGAGGGAGAGATATCTTCAGCTGCCACCAGCCAATCGCTCGTCCCCATCCGTTTATACTCCACCTTGAAGGCAGTGATTGGAGAACCCCCATTGGCCCGAGGGATCCAAGTGACGTAGACGGACGTCTCTGATGCAGTGGAGATGGTAGGCCGATCAGGGGCCTCCGGAACTAAAAGTGGAAACATTCACCTCAATAACGCACGGTGTCGAAGACAAGAATAATTCACATAAACCAGGAGGGACAAGTGGCCAACATCATTTAATCAAAGGTTCTTCAAACTTTGCCAGAGTTAATAATGTGGAGTATCTTCCTGTCCTCTGTTAAAAGGCCATGAAATAGACAAACACAGGAAATACAAGGAAGAAAAGGAAAAATAACCTACAAACTTGACGACTGCCTCTGAAAAACTGAACGTTAACTGTGACCACGCTACTTTGGATTTATGGCTGAAACTGTGTATAAGTAATTACAATTTACAGTAAATTTCAAAATTATGTGTTATCTTATGTGAATGTTTTGTTTAGCCATCCAAGCTACACAGAACACCTTCACCAAACAATCTACAGATTATTATATTAGTTGTTACTGTCCCTCAAGGCTACGGGACTGCTACTCCAGAACACAGACTGAAGGCAGTAAACAGGTCAAAGTCGACCCATAGAATCAATACTGATAATAACAGAGAGAGAGCTGCTCAGGACAAAAGCAGGAAAACAGGACACGTAGTCAGAGAAAACTGCTATGAGAAAACAGACGACCCACAGGATCATCCACATGAATGTGTAGGAAAAGGGGGTCAGGGAGCGAATGTCTGGCAGTTTCCAGTTTGAACTGCTATGGGGAGGGGCGGGGGGAGAGGAGGAGGGGAGGGGAGGGGAGGGGAGGGCCTAACCCACGATCAGACGTCTGGTCCTGCGGCACATGGAGACGCCAGCCACTTGAGCCAGGTACCTAACTCTCCCTGCTGACCAAGTGGCTCTGTGCTCCTAGCTGGCTTCCCACCTGGTTCTTATGAGGAAAGGATGCTGTTAGGAACAACCTGGTCTAAGTGACAGTCATATCACAAGTTAGTAACTGCCCCTCAACTGTGAATTTTGTAACAATGAGATCATTCTCAAGAGGCTGACTCTCCTTTGGTGTGCTGAGAATCAGGTTTCTGGAGCTGGAACAGGAAGGACCCCCTGTGGCCCTGGTGACATTTCTTGGGTGAAGTCACCAGGCGGCCCTGTCTCTGTCTAGCCCATGCCACACTTGTCAAACAGCACCCTCTGTCTCAACACCTCTCCAACCCAGACACGTATACAGAACAAAATTACACTGCCTTTGGTACTTGTACGAAGAAACATGTGGCATTTAAAAACGAATTGCTTAATGGATAAAAGGAGGAATATATTCAAAGCAGGCAGCTTTCAGTGGTACTTACTGTAGTCCTTTCAAGTCAGAAAGCAATGGAAACAGAACAAATAGAACGGTGTTAGTAAATCTCTTTTTAAATACTATGCTCACCACACAACTTCCTTATGCCGATTTATATGGGGTTAAAACTCATTAAGAAACAGCGCAGTTTGAACAGAAAAAAAAGTTATTAGGTGAAGAAAATCTCCACAAACAAGAATATCTTCAATATCTAAAAGAACTAGCATGAGACAGTTAAAGGGGAAAAGAAAGAACCCTGCACCTGGAGCTGAACAGCCTGAATTTGAGAAGCAGTTCCAGTTTCTGGATGCTCTCAGACAGGCAGCATAGCCGTGCAGAGTCTCAGCTTCCTACTTGGTGAAACAGAGAACACTGCCTTCTCCATGAGGTTGTTATGATGATTAAGTAAATCACTTCTTACGGTTATCTCTGCTGGATAACGCCAGACTCAGGATTTCCACTGCTGCCTCCGTCATCTTCACCTACAAATTCTCATGGCCCCCCTTGGCGAACGGGCCCTTGCTGGCCAAGCCCGAGCACCGCATTTCTCCCCCTCATTCAGTGTGGACTGGATCACCTCGATCTGCCGTCTTTCTCTGTGTCCTCGTTGGACACAGAAGGATCTCCATTCACACCGTCACTGTCCTCATTACTTGCCCAACCTCATTGTTGGCCATTCCTCCCATCTCCCTCTTTAAAATACTTCAGGGTTCTTTCCAGCTTTCGGGGAAAGATTACGCCTGTCTCCCCCACTCCACCGTCATTCTGCACAGCAACCAGTCACACTAATAAAATCCCCCACCTCTAATCTCTGAATGAAATGGAACACGCCATTCACACGTCTCTTTGCACAAAGAGCTGCCTTTGCCTAGAACCTCTTTTTCTGTCTCCCCATCAGCTACACAGAGTCTTGGAGGCTCAGCCCCGGGAGGCTCTCTCACCAACAGGTGGTCTCCTCTCTACCAAAAGGGGTGATTCCGACAGTTCTCTCGTGAGCTCAGACCGTCTCGTGTGGAATCTCGGACACAACGAGTCCACATCACTGCCAGGGGTTCATTTGTCTGTGTTACCCGCGACATGGTTACTGGTTCAGTTGTCCATATCATCCTGTAAACTTCTCGTAGGCAAAACTTATTTTATCTCTGTTGCTCCAGCATTTAGTACAGACAGGGTCTGCCACTGTAACTGTAGAATCGATAACTGTGAAATTTACATACTAAAAAGACACCTTTCAGAGATTTTACTGCAACAGTATTTAAAAAACCGTAAGATTGGCAAGTGAGAGCAATGAAACTGAGTGTGACCTATAATCATTCGATTAAAAAAAAACCCTAAATCGTACTATAGGTACCGCCATATATTTTAATAAGTCATCAAAAAAAAAAGGGCAGACTTGCAGAATTCAAAATATAAATTTGGTCTCCTTGCTACAGAGGACACAGCAAAATCCTTTTTTGTGAGTTATAACTACTTGGTGCCAGATGTTTTTAATCTGAGTGTATTATCTTAAATACCAAGCACGACAAGGGGTTGCCAGGATTTGAATATGACAGGACATTGAAGAAAAGGGTGGAAATAGGAGCTAGAGGAGCTACAGGCAGAACAGAATCTGAACGATAAACCAACACCTGGTCCCACTCGGACCCCCAGAGAATCTGAACCAGGCGGTGACACAGACAGACAAACAGAAGCAGCACGTGAAGGCCCCGCCTCACCTCCACTGTGCCTCAACGGGTCAGTCAGGACGGCCCCAAAGTGCTCCGCTGCCTCCGAGACCACCGGGCGCCGAGGGACGCCCGCGGGGGGGGAGGAAGCCTGGGTGCTCTTCGATGAGGCCGTTTTCTCTGGAAAGTTTAAAAACATACTGTCACGTACGCTTCTGTGTACATGCAAAGTAAGAAAAGATACCGTGAACTTCAACCGGCAGGCAGAGGTAGATACATGAACTTAGCTGTTACCGTGTCCAAACTGAAGACCTACGTGGTAAATACTTATTACTCTGAGGCATTGACTTGAAAAATTACTTATCTTTTTCCAGTACCTTAAAGGGAAAAGTAAAGTGTGTCATTCACAGGCTAACTTTAATTTACACATCGAAAAATCAACACATGAAAAAGTCAAGTGACTAGGGGAAAGGTTTTCAAACTACTCGTCCATTTTTCTCTCCACCAGACATGCTTCTTAATTCTAAAACATAAAATCCATTATTACAGGGCTTCTGGTTAGTTTCTTCACAGGAAAACTGTCATGTTAAGTTTTAAAATTTCAAGAGGCAAATAGTGAAATTGGGTGATTATTTTAAAGCTGAAATACATGATTATTTGGCATTTATAGGTCAGCCTCTATGAACAACTAAGAATTTAAAAAATTAACTCAAAATACATTTCAAATAAATACTCATTATTCTTCTGGCCAGTTGCAGGAATTAGAGGAAAGGGTCTTTTTCAAAAGCCAGATGGTAATGTCTTCCCAACCCTCACACCGCCTGCTTTAGCTGGGCCAAGATCAATCACTCCTCCATCCAATCCCCATCCCTGCTCACTGAAGTCTTCTTCTTGACTGCCTATGGCCAAGCTACGAGGGCATCCTCCATCGGGCCTCCCCACAGAGAGACTGTCCTTTCTCTGAGCACTGCTGGCATTTTCTCTGTTCGTCTTTCTTAGTACTTACCACTTCCAGCCTCTGCCTAGGCTCTTGCCCCCTCCTTGCCCTGCAGCCCAAAGTGTCTGTTGAAACACACAGCAGGTTGTGCTACAACTCTGCTCAAATTCCTGCCAAGTTCCTGACGAGGCGCTGTGTGACGTGGCCACTCTGTCACCTCCCTGAGTGTCCTCCTCACTTACTTAACTCCCATGACAGTGGCCCCCTCGGTGTTCCGAGTGCACACCAAGCACGGCCTGCCCCAGGGCCTTTGCACTCACTAGTCTCACTGCTGGGATGCCCTCCCCGAGATGGCCACGTGGCTTTCCACTTCGCCGCCTCAATGCTCTGCTCTGCTGCCGATGGCTCACTGAAGACTTCTCCAGCTACCTCCCTAAACGATGACACCTGCTACACCACCCACTTCCTATATGCACCCCCTAATTCGTTTTTCTCATTAACATTCACCACCTTCTCACATATAACTTAGGCACGCATCTCTCCCAACTAGAATGTAAGGTCCATGAGAACAAGGAGTTTTGCCTGTTTTGTCTATTGCCGGGCAGGCACATAGAAGCTGTTCAGTAAACATTAGCTGAACTGGAATTTTGCTTTGTAGTTGGTATGCACGCACGGGTCTTACCTTTCTTAGCAAAGTAGACGCTCCATGAGGAGGGATGTTGTTTTGCTCATCTTTGTTCTCCCTGAGTCACCTACCCTAAGGCCTTATACACCATAAGCTCTTAAAAATATTTGTGGAATATTGGGTGAAATGGAAAAATACAACCACCCAATGTGGCCCCAAAAGGCACCATAATAGGCTTATCTAATGAATTTATACATAAGAATCTCTACTCCCCAAAAGGATGCTTACTAATGGAGTGGCATGAAGACAGCCCACTCCCTCTGAGAAAGGCGACGCTCACCTTTGCTAGTTCGGAAGGTGAGCATGGCAGGCTGCCCCTCACCCGCTGCGCTTCTCGCCACCATCAACACTTCGTAGAGGCTGGACGGCTCCAGCTCCGTCAGACGGAGCTCGTTTTCACTTCCTGGGACCCGCACGGTGTGCCAGCTCCCCGCCACGCCCACGCCGTCGTCCAGCTGCTCGAGGGAAAACGGGCCATTGGGAAAAAGGAGATGAGTGAGGGGCAGAAAACACTCCCATTCAAATCTGATAAAAACTAGAAGTCATTCAGATTCAGCTGAATTTGGGGAAGTGATGTACCATTTTAAATATGAAATGCAATATTTCTTCATATTCAGAAACAGAAAGAGGCCTGCAGCAAGGACTCAAGAATTCTCCCTGCAAAGACTCCCGGCTCTGCTCCTCCCAAAGCAAGTTCTTGGGTCTCTCCAAGTTTGTCTCCTTTGCTTGTAATGGAAACAGTACTCCTTCCTTACTGGGCAAATGGGTGAATACAATAAGTATATAATGAGGTATATTAATGACAGTCTGTAATGTATATAACAAATTAGAATATGTATGTTTGTACATATATGGATTATATAACTATGTACTATATATTTCTAGCATTCTTGCTTCACTCCTTGTCACTGTTCAATGTGTTGCATGAAGTGAATTTAAAAAAGATCCAATCCATTGTGTCTGTTCATGGAACCCAGAGACCACATTATATGGAAGTTTTCATGCGGCTAAGAATGCCAGTGAAACTCCCTTCATCTAAAATCAAGTTAGAGACCGTAAATAAACTTTCAAATCTCATGATGTTGATTTTTCCAGATATTAAAAATATTATTATTAAGTAATGGATACCAAAATGTCTTGAACAAAGAAATTATTTTTCAATGAGTGCATCCCTTTCTGTTTCATTCACCTGCTAGCCTCGCCAACAGAGGAGAGTTTCTCAGTTTGCTCTAATATACACTTCCGGAGGGAAAACATCTGAAAAATTGGCTGTGGGGACCAAAGTGCACCATAATCAAGATCCAAACAATATAAGATTCTAATATAATTGAGAAGACAACTTGAAATGCAAAGAATTGTCAGAAATCATACCAGAGGACTTGTTCGAAAAGTTGTTTTCAGTAAGAAAATGCTTTATTTGGTAAATAAACTGTATACTCCTATGGGAGAGGAGCGACTGACTTTTTTGAAGTGGTTTATACAGCTTTATACCCAAGGGATTAAATAAAATGTCTGATTAAAGAAATGTGGAGAAGTTACCAGGTTCTTGGAATCCCAACTTGGGGGAAAACTGCTTCTATTTCATTCTTAATATTTTTCTAAACTGGCAAATCCAGCTGGGACATTTCTCCCAAACTTACTCCCCCGGAACATCTTGCTCTGTTTCCTGGGAGTAAGTATGTGGCACACACTGTGAGGGTGTGAGGAAAGATGAAACGTAAGAAGGCATTACCTTTCGATACTTCACAAAATAGGCGTTGATGGGCAGCCCGCCATCCTTCCCCGCCCTCCAGACCAGGCTGTACGTGTCTGGTGTGGGGGTCTGTGGGGGGCTCAGAATGATGGGGGCATCGGGGACGGAGGCACCACTAGCATTTTTCTCTGACGGTGATCCCACTGCACCGGAAGCTTCCCTCACTGGAAGTGAGCTCAGTAATTCAGTTGCTGAACCATCTCTTTTAGCATTCTGAGTGGCATCAGAAGGTGTGACCATTCCTGATTTTGTACTTGTTTCAGAAGGAACTGCAGAGGAAGGGGGGCAGGGAGAGAGAGAGAGAGAGAGGAGACAACATGAGAAATGCATTATTTCAGTGTCTTCCATACAGTGATCTAACTGCCCACCCACACTGATACAATTCAAGCCCTAGACATTACAGCAGGTAAGATTTCTATGTATAATTCATGGAAACTTCCTAACCCGAGCTACTGCCTCCTATTCAAGAAGGAGCAAATTAATTGTGTAGAAAATCAATTACGTGATACAGTGGTTTAGTGGTTTAAAGGATGCTATTTCTGCCTTGCTCTACACTAGCATTCCCCACCTTTTACAACTACTTGCTAGCTCAGCTTCAGAAGATTTTAAGTGGAGAACATGATGCTTGAACTCCGCTGGTATATGAAACACAGGGAACTGCAATCCCGTGGGAATAAGGAAGGGGTCAGGTGGCAAGCTATGGCCGGCCTACCATGTAGCAGGTCTCCAGGGACACCGCTCATTATGCACTCCCCTGGGCAGTGCCCCCCACACCCCCATGCTGAGTGTGGGCTGGCCCTGTGACTGGCCTCAACCAGCAGAATGGAGAGGTGAGGCTGTGCTCTCCCAGGCACAGCATGAAGAAGACCTGGCACTTCTGGTTTTGTGCTGCCTCATACAGATGTCCCAGCTACCCCTGTGCAGAGACTCACTACATGCAGAGAGACAGAGAGAGGAGCTGGGGATGGCTTTGGTCCTCGCAAAGGTGCCGCACATGGGAGTGGCACCTTCGAATGGCCCAGCCCTGGTGCCATCTGATTACAATGGCGTGAGAGACCCAAGTAAGGCCAGCAGAGCGCCCAGCTGCACCTGGATGACCCACGGGACTGGAAGGGAGAATAAAGCAGCTGCTGTTCTGCGTCTTTAATCTTTGGGGGCAGTTCCTCGGGGACAGATCACTAACATGCCCATCATACATGTGAGAATCAATCTCCACTCAAGAAGAGGGGAGATGTGAGACAGAACTAGCAGAGAAAAAGGAATTCACTTATTTCCAAACATGTCCTGCACCTGGACAAAACTGAAGGAGGTTAAAAACACTGTCAATCGAAAGAGAAAATGCAGACGGCCTCAATACTTACTACTAGAGGCATGCAGAATATTCAGAGGAGGGTAAAAATAATTTATCTGCACTGGAATACCTAATAGGTTGTGTATATCAAACAATTACTGGGTGCCTATGCACCAGGCATTGTGCTAGATATTAAGGAACATGTAATCTCATTTAATTCTCAAAACGGCATTCTCAGAGAGTAACAGCACTCCCCGTGCCAAGGCAAGAAATTAGGGTTCTGGGGGTTCAGTGGCTACGGCTGGCAGAAGAACGCCAGCAGTGCCACCGTGGGAAAGTGGGAGAACAACCTGTGGGGGCAGGCGTCTGCCGCCACGGCCAAACTTCAGGACAGACAGCCTGGGTTCTCTAAAGCACCATCAGTGCTGACGAAACATCTCCTTTTCCGACTACTTTCAGGGAGGAAGTGAGCACAGGAAATAACGTTAGAGTTTCTTTTCCCCAAAGAAGTTGGACTTCTGGTAAAAGGAGGGTGTGTTTTTTGGAGAACTATTGCAGTTTAGTCGAAAACCAACAAAACACGGGACTAACAGTATAAGGTCAGCTCTGTTTGTTCAAAAGGAAGAAAAGTTGTCCCAGAAGCATCTTCCATCAAAGAAGACAAGAAGCTAGTGGGAAAATAATATAGAAAACTAATTAGGTTCACTGAGACTTCAAAACATTGCTCCTGTTTACCTAGTGAGTCAGAATGTGGGCTGAGGTCAAGGGTGGGCGCTGGTGCCTGCTGGGCCAGGGACGCACTGGGGCAGGTGCAGCTCACTAGCCGTGCTCAGGGTAGTGGACAAGGACCCTCTTCTCTACCACAGTTGTGGGTTTTCTGGGCAGGTTACCCCTGGAAGTGGTGTCTGGCTGTACAGGAGTTTAAACGCCATGTGCCTCAGTTTCTAAGTTAGGTAGGGTGTAGGCGATGGAGATGCTATACAGAAACACGATATTTACCGAGATGTAGGATCCTGACAAGCAGATTGGGAAGGCCTAAGAGGATCCAGTCTAACCGAGATAGTTTACATATCTTCCAGGGGCCTCAGGTCATTGTTAAAGTGAGGCAATTGGACAAAATATCTGGCTGCCTCAGCTACGACCATGACCTCCACAGCTCCCTCTACCCTACATTCACATGTAGAATCCTTTCTGCTCTGTGCTACCCAAGGAGCCCTGCATCACACCTGTCTTAGCGAATGATTTTGTGTAGAGCCGCTCTTACTTCTGGCTTAGCAGAACAGATATATAAACACGTATGCATGCATATTCATATATACGCATAAACTTATACAACACTCCGGGTAATTATAATTTAACCTAGTACTTACTATTTATTGAAGGGTTTCTGTTGCTAGACACCACTCTAAGCACTTTACATGTATGAACTCCTCAAGTTCTCCCATCAGCCCCAGGAGTGGGGCCCCTTCGCTGCACACGTCACGCAGAGGAGACGACAAGCACAGGTGTGTCTAGTGGCCTGCCCTGGTGCACGAAGCCCCTGAGTGGCAGAGCCACATCTAAGCACAGCCTGTGGGCTCTGACTCCATGCCACGCCCAGCCCTGGCATTCATGGAGTAAGTAGCACAAGAGCGGAAATGGAGTGCCCAGCCCTTCCCTCTCCTCTGCCTCCCTCCAGCCTTGTCCATCGCTGGGGTCCTTGTGCGCGAGTAAACGGAAAGAGCGGCATGTGCACCTGCCCTCTGCCCCCTGCCCTGTCACCCCTCGGCAACTCCTCGGGATGAAGGTGCCTGCGCACCAGTGGTGTGGCCCACAGGCTGCAGGCTGGACCAGGGAGAAGGCCTGAGTGCGTCACGCTGTGAAGTAACTAAAGCAGGGGCCTTTGAGGCCCTGGTCCCGGGGTACAGGAGGGGGAATGTGGGCACTGGTCACTGGGTAAGCACAGACCCCTTGGACCTGTGGGACCAGAGGACCTGGGCAGAAAGGGCCCCACGAAGCCCTTGGAGGCAGAGACCCAGAGCAGGAACCTCGGTTGCTGAGAGGGAGGGCAGCACCGCTCTATAACACTCTTACTCTCACACGACAGTCCAGCGACAATCTCCCCTCCAGCGCCTACTTGCTGGGAACGCTTCTGTAAGTACCACGGATGTGCAGTTTGAATTTCAATTTCGTCAAGTTTGAATTGATTCTGGTAATATCAATATTCTATTACTGGTACTTTAAAAACCATATAACATCTTTAAGTCATCATCACCAAAATGGCACGTAAAATATGAAGAATTACTGTCATGCACCCCTTTAGCAAAACGCCTGAGCTGGACGAGGAGACACACACAGGCGTCGTCCTGCAGTGCTGCGATGCTGCACTCTTTCTGAAAGCCAGCCCTTCAGACTGTGGACACTGTGCCCACAGGGCTCGCTCGCCTTAAAAACGTCTGCAGCAACATTTCCATAGCTTAGAAAATCCAAGCGTTCAACCCAAAGAGCGGTCTGTGGGCGTCCAGGATGAGTCACCTGAAGATGTGTCTCCGTGGCACGTGGACTATTGGGAGCTCAAGGCAGCTTCAGCTGCAGGCTCAAGAGAAGGCTGCCCCCGACCTTAATTTCCTACAAGAACTTGAATTAGAGGCCTTGCCCAAAGAGATCACCAGAGATAACTTCTAACCAGCCCAGAGGGCGGGGCACACTTCTATTTACTGGGTTGGCCAAAAAGTTCAGTATGTTTTTCTATATGACAGCTGTAGTAGTGCTTAGTTGTCTTTAACTTCATTTGAAACAATCTGGTTGGATGGTACTGTGACAGCTGTCATGTCAGTGTGCATTTTAAAAAAACTTACCAAAATTGGTGAAGTTTTGTGCAGCCATTTTAATACTGATGATGGAAAAAGATATACAATATTTTCAGTGTACTATGCCTTATTATTTCAAGAAAGGTAAGAGTGCAACTGAAATGTAACAACAAAAAAAGATTCGTGCAGTGTATGGAGAAGGTGCTGTGACTGATCGGATGTGTCACAAGTGGTTTGCAAAGATTCTCGGCACTACTGACACTCCGGCCAAACAACCCTTTGCCATGGGGCTGTTCTGCACTGGAAGATGGCTAGCAGCCCCCTGGCCTCTACCACTAGAAGCCAACAGCAGGAGAAAGCCAACATACTCGAAACATCCAAATCAATAAAGTTATTGGTGAAAATGAAAAATGTCCCCTTTTTAGGAATTTTTAAAAAGATTTTATTTATTTTTTAGAGAGGGGAAGGGAGAGAAAAAGAGAGAGAGAGAACCATCAATGTGTGCTTGCCTCTCATGTGCTCCCTTACTGGGGACCTGGCCTGCAACCCAGGCATGTGCCCTGACTGGGAATCGAACAGGTAGCCTTTTGGTTCGAAGGCCCGTGCTCAATCACGTGTCTTTTATTTTGTGGAGAAAACACAGCAGACTTTTTGGCTACCCTAATACTAAAGGTCGGCTCTTATCCTGCAGGACTTTCTGAAGCCCCCAGGGCACCTCACCTCATCCCTAGCTCAGGCTGTCTTACATACCCACGTTCCCTTTCTATCTCTGAGCCCCTCCTACACGTGTGGTCTCTGACTCGCTCATGTGCAAGGGGTTCCCACACATAGGTACGTATTAAATTTGGTTATTTTCTCCTGTCTCATGTCTGTTTGATTATCAGGCCAGCCAGAAGAACCTGGAGGGGACAGGAAACTTAGTTCCTCCCCACACTTCCTACCTTGGGCTTCCCAAACACCAGCTTCTATAGGACAACTACAATCTCAGCAAACACATCAGAAATGGAGACCAAGGTTCGTGCAGTTCACGTTAAGGCCAAATACCAAAAACTATGGTTCTGCATATCATTGTCACTGGGAAAAAATACGTCTTTAGAGATTGCTGGATTCATCGAAATAATACAGTAAAGTACTTCATCCCCTGTGATCACAGACAACTATTTACCTGGAGGAAAAAAAAACTAATGGCAACTCACCCACTGTGAGCACAGCCTCAGACTGCGCGGTGCCGTGCTCATTCGCAGCTTCGCAGGTGTACTTCCCAGCATGCTCCTGGGTGACGGCCTGGATGGACAGAGAGCTTGAGCCAGCTCGGGACACGATGAAGTAGACAGGCTCCAGGTCAAAGCCCCCAGGTCTTGGCGAGTGTGATTTTCGGGATTTAGATCTAAGGACTTGAGACGGATGGCTGGTGATCAAACCGTGCCTGTGGTACCAACGGATGGCAGGAACCGGCACTCCCGTGGCATTGCAGGACAAAGTCAGGAAGTCTCCGTCCACCACCTGGGTACTTGCCGGTGCTGTAACTATAACCGGCTTGAGTCCACTGTCTGCTAAAAAGGCATTACATACATTAGAGTTAAGAACATTACAGTGTCTACGATGCAAAATAATTTCGCCCTTGTGTGCAAATGTTCCCGATGATGAGAAGTCACAGTCAGAGACCTCTTTCACACATGTGTTTCCGCGTAAGTGTTTTACATGCAGGACAGTGCGGGGAACACGATCATTCTCTGAAATGCACTGTTCACGATGTCACGCGCAAGGAGTGACACAGTTGTGACAGTGATGACTGCAGCACGCCAGCCCCCTCCTTGTCAGCCCTCAACTCGCACCAGGTGATGCTGTTTAAGACTGTTTCTTCATGAAATGAGAAACTTTTACCATATTACCTTTTTAATATACAGTATATTGAAAAGTGGTTTGTTTTTCATTTTTTTAATGAGCTTAATTAAATAAGGCTGTTTCTGCATCTAGACAGGACCAGGGAACATGAAGACTGTTCTGTTCTGGTGACAGGATCATTCCCTTCAGCTACATTTTAACCACAACAAAAGCGTATCTGTAAAGCAAAATTTCCTATAGTTAATCCCATGATCTAAAGACTACCTTTTTCAATTTCAAGTCTCCCAGTAGACTGCGTGAATCCAATTCCATTATCTGCTACACACTGATACAGGCCAGAGTCTTCCACGGTGACATCGCTGATCTTCAATCCGCTTTCTGTGGTGAGATGCCGTGGGGAAGGGTGGACGGGCCGTGCGTTATGAAGCCAGGTACGGTTGGGGGGCGGGTTCCCACGAGCCTCACACGTGAACTGCACGGTGGCGCCCAGAGACACAGTCTGGTCCTGCAGTCCTTTAGAAATGGAAGCCTGTTCTGAAAACAAACCACAAATTGCCACTCGAGTCATATAAAACCTTCTCTATCTACCAATAACTAGTTAAAACCAAAGTGTATTGTTTACTTGCATTCTCCCATCTGCTGTGGTCAAGAAAAAAATTTTAAGTGTATTTTAGCTTTCCTTTAATACGACAAACCATATGTTACTAATACGTTATAACCTCTTTTCATAGAACTCTCCACCCACTTAATTCCCTTAACACACACAAATACACACACACACACAAAGTTTCTAATTTGGGGCTTTTAGCATTAGTTTCAGGTGATTTGTTTGAAATAAAGTAATAGTTTCCCTGGATTTCACACTGAACAGGAGACAAAACAGAAGAAAACCTTATTCAGAAGTTAAGTTCTTTTATGGTCAATTCGGCTTTGAGGTCAGGTGGGCACAGGGCAGAAACACTTCTGTTATATCCAGAAAGTGGGCTTTTTACCTGGACAAAGTAAATCATTTATTTACATTGTAACATATGCCCAGATTAAATAGTTATGCATATGACTCTAGTCCTAATGATCATTACAAGTTAAAGCCCACTGCCAAATGCTTACGTTGATTCCAGTGTAACCTGCATCAGGCCATTGCTGCAATTAAACACGTCGTGAAGATTTACAAAAACTGTACTAACTAGGAAACCGCTTAACTATCTGTTTTTTCTGGTTTTCCTGAAAGCCTGCTTTGATGAAGAAAAACGTTTTCCACGACCACACATGAGAGTGATGGGCAGCTGGAAGAAAGGAATCACTTTGGCATAAAGAGCAGATATAGAAATGCGGGTGAAAATAATGCAAATTTTATGAGCCAGATACAGTGACAGCTGTCCAGAAGGGAAAACAAAATGAAATAGATGTCTTCATGAGATGACATTTTCTGGTCAGGACTCTGCCCTGGTCACTACTGCTGGAGACCACACCTGACCACAGCCCAGAACCTTCCATCCTACGGAGTTCCAGTTTCCGCCCTCCGGGTCCTCATGAAAAACAAGCTCTGCACCACGTGACCAGGCGGGGGTGAGGCTCCCGGGAACGCCCAGCTGAGATGCTCTGCGGCACCCAGAACCCCTGCCTGGTTCAGCAGTCCGTGAGGAACGTGAAGCTTGTTCTGCCTGCCAGTGCAGACGCTTCTTCACAGTCCTTGTGTCACTCAGCTCACAAACAGACCTTCCACTCAAACATCAGTCAGACCACTGGACAACACTTAGTGAGCGACATCTTACCAAGCACGCTAACCGTGTAAGTCACGTGTTTCACATCTCCAGACGTGCTTCCCACCATACAGGAATAATTTCCAGCATCCACGGGGTCAATGCTATCCGTGGCGAGATGAGAGTACAACCTCCTCCAATTGCTTCCCGCCATGGCATCCTGACCGTCCTTCAGCCAGTGCACTTGAGAAGTGGGGACCCCGCTCACCACACACTCCAGGGTTACAGGACTATGAGCAAGTACAGCTAGTGCCTGCGAAAGGGTGGGGTGGAGAATGTGAAAGTCATCTGAAGAAGGGCCTGGAAAAAGAAGAGAAAGCAAAAAATTATCATCGTGTCCAATCTCTTCCTCAGCAAATCTATGAGCTTTCCCACGTTCCCATTTATTCTTCTTTACACTACCAGGTTCTGTTTGGTAGCTAAATCATTTTTAATAGAGAATTAAAATTAAGAGGGTTTGCAATACTTCAGGGCTACTTCTGAATGAGCAGTTTAGAAATGTAGACTTCTGGACAAGGACAGGAGTCACCGCTGCTAAACTACCACAACCTAAAAGTCAGGCATGAAAGGGAACAGGGATATGTATTTTCATAATTCACAGTTAGCCACAAACTTGACCACCACTCATACCAAGTTATATTTTTACTATCTCTTACTTTTATTTGAGCAAAGGGCAAAGTTCTCCACATGTGTATCTCTCTGCCATCTGGACCCAAATTCTCCCCTGGCATATCATTACATTTTTAAACCATGTATAGTAGCATTTGATCATTCTATAATATATTATGTATTTAATTTTTGTAAGACTTTCCTATGATGAGCAAATAGGATCAAAAAGAAAAATGAACTCTCATTTTTCAACTTGTTATGAGGAATGCTTCCGAGGACTCTCCCTAAATACTGTTATTCTCCCAAATACTTACGACTCACAAGGAGCTTTCGGCCAGTGGGTTCGACTTTTAACTCATGTGTGACGGGATTAAAAGCTGCGCATTTATAGGACCCCTTGTCCTCCACGGACACATTCAAGATCTGAAGATTTCCCGACGGGAGGATTAAGTAATTCTCTGAGGAAGGAAGGGAATGCAGTTAGGCCTCTCTCTTTACAAAGGACACCAATGAAAACTAATCAGTTTTGATAGCTGTACTTTAAATTTAGACATCAGACTAGCAGCAAATGAGCAATTGAGGGAAAATCACTGAATGAAGGGAAGGGGAAGTCAAGGCAACAAAAAAGCCGGTGGCACCAGAGTAACAGAGCCCAGCCCACCGGAAACACCTGGCCATAGGTCGCTGGCTGAGAGCTGACGGCAGGCGGGGCCGAGCCAGACAGACAAGGACACAGTGACCCGCACCGTCACGCTCGTCCATCCCCCAGCATTCAGTCTTGTCTAGCTAGTCATTTTTTTCTCAACAAATATGTTCCGAGGGCCTATTTTCTTCCAACAACGGCCCAGGCACAAGCGGCACAGCCATGGAGAAGGCAGACGAAGGTACTGCTGATGTTCCAGCCAGGAACGGGGGTGGCAGAGAAAGGGTAAAGGGCAAACCGGCCAACAGAAACGCGTCTAACACAGTGCCCGGGGTGGGGGTGGGGGGGTGACAGTGAAGAGTGAAGCTGAAGACAGAGGACAGCGGGCAGTGGGTGGACTCGGTTAGCAAGGGCCTGAGGGCCATCTCCTCAGAGTGAAATCTGTCTGAGCTGGGACCCAGTGAGTCGAGACGGTGAACACCGGAGTGTGGACTGTAATCATTTCTGTAATGTAGCCACAACTTCTGGTCTCCTGCCCTTGATTTCTGAGAGCGGATAAGGGGTGTCTTGCGTATTTTGGTATCTGCAGTCCCCAGTACACAGAGCTTCGTCGTAGGCCCTTATACAGACCTCTGACCTGTGGGTGCCATGGGCTTTTCCTAAAAGCTCTCACCTGTGGAATGTCTCAGCCATTTCCCCCGAACTTTGTAGCGCACCTCGGCTTTGGGGTTGCTGGCTGGTACCTGGCAGCCAATGAAAGCAGTCCTTTTTTCTTCTGCTGTAACAACATGCTTTGTGGATGAATCAAAATCACCAAGAACTAAAATAAATAAACAGAGCAATAAACAAATGTAAATTTGAGCTCTCTTTCCTGAAAGAAATTTAAAAACTAGAAACAGCATCTGCAACTTGGCCGTCGGTGGCAGCCAATCCCACTTCACAGGCAGGGGACTTCTTATCTCAAAAGGCGGTCTCCGGGTGGGAGTGCGTGGTTTAGGGTGGGAGCTAAGTCATGGCACCCTTCTCCAGGAGACCTTGAGAAAAGCCAGCTGCTCTTAACACATGAGGGGAACTATAAAGCATCACTTTCCATCCTGTCAAGACCAGCACTTTTTGACCCAGCCCCTCATCAGCACTGACTTCCCCTATGTACGCATCACTGTTCTGTCTGAACTCAGGTTCAATACGATGGTTTTTGAGGACGAACCCAGGACATCGAAAACAAAGCTGCATGTCACTGGATTGCCTGCGTACACTAACTCGGTCTCGAGTCTCCTTGGGTTAATTAAGTCCCCTGAAGACGAGCCTGCACAGAAGGACTCTATCGTCTCCAGGGCCCACAGCAGCCAGCAGCCTGCCGCCGGAATCCAGCCCTCCAGCACATGTCTTGGAGTGGTCCATGGGTCACAGCTCTACAAAAACATTTACTCTTCTCAGTTATGACAAACTCGCCACTCCTGGGGAATCCGGACCTGTTCTGTCAATAGGGGCGCCCTTAGAAGACGTTTCCAGGGCTGGAAGCCGTCACCGTCTGAAAGGCAGATGGCTCAAACGCACTGAGAAAACCACCAATCCAGATTTTCCCCAAGCTCGATACTCAACATTCCTTTCGTTACAGTCAGTTATTATTTTCCTGTTTCTTTAGCCTGGTTTCAATTACACAAATTAAAAGCACTCAGTAATCAGGCAAATAAAACAATTAGATGTAAAAGAAAGATAAAGGACTGCATAAAATAACTGAGTGTCAAAGTAGACAATAGCTTTTTTGTTGCTGTTTGTATTAGGGACTTTCAAATGCTAACCAAAAAAATTCAGAATTCCCTTTAGAAAACTGTCGTGTGTAAAAAAAAATCACTCCCACATCCTCATTGCAGATGAAGACAACTAGGCCAGGCTCACGGAGGTTCAAGTACACTTCCCCAAGTTAAACACAGAGCAAAAGTCAAGGCTGGGATGAGAACTGCTGTGTGTCTTCCTCCAGAACCCACGCTCTTCCCACCACCCAAAATGCAAGTACTAACAGCAACCCCAGGAAACCCCATACGTAACAGGGACAAAATGAAACTCACCTGCAAGGGACACTGTGGCAGGGCCACTCACAACCGCGCCGACGCTATTGTTGGCAATGCACTGGTAGTCCCCCAAAAGGGAGGGGCTGAGAGAAAGAACAGTCAAAGTCCCCTGATGAATCTTAATCTGTTCCAAGTTTCTCTCCAGTCTCTTCCCATTACGCCACCACGTGATACGAGCAGTCACAGGTTTAGCAGAACAATGCAGAACTACAGGTCCACCAAGTTTCTGGACCGCAGACAGTGGCTCAGAAACGAAATAAGGTGCCAAGTCTAGAAGGGAACATTCCCCGTGTGCAAAGGAAGAGGAGAATGAGAAAGAAAATACATTACATATGTTTCGTCTCAGTCTGTGTAACTACAGGCAATCCCTTACTGGGTCTATATATGTTATGGTTCTTAATGCTTGTGTAAGTTCTAGGAAGTCCTAAAAGTCCATTTTTGGAAGAGAAAGAGGCAACATGTTAACCTAGGACTTAACAATTAGGGTAGAGCAGATAAGAATCCTTACGACATAAATGAGAAATGGTGAATTGCTCATTTAAGGAAGTGGCTTTTAAGAAAGAAAGTTAATCTGACAAAGTGGAGATGACTTTCAAACTACAAAGAATTCCTCTCTTATAACCAACCGGCTTTGGCTTTTAAAAGCAAGTTATTTCATAGATGAGGCTATGGTATTTCTTTACCACTTCCCTTTAACATAAAATAATGTTCAACTTTTAAGAAAGTGAAGTAGAAAGGTAGGAAGCCGCACTGACCTACAAAGTCTATCCTCATTCTGGGGTAGAAGGCTCAAATAGGGTATCAACGCGATTGTCCTTATTTGGTATTTGGAAGAGTTTCATTTGTTATGTCTATTCCTCTAGGAAGTTGGTGGGGGGCAGAGGAGTCTTGCACTTAAGTGTCAGAACAGAGCCTTCTCTGCCACCCAAAATACAGGACAGGAATGCTGCTACTCTGGCATAATAAAATGCTTTTTTAAAGACATCAATAAATCATTGATTCTACTTTTACAGGATATTTTATCAGCAATGAAGATTCTGGAAGGTGCCTCTCCTGAGTAAGTCCGAGGGTGTTGTTTAGCAAAATAAATAAATAAAACCACTACATCAATTTTTCCCTTACTAACTATAACATAGTTGTATAGTATATTTACCAGAGGAAAATAAATATTACTTAGTGAACAAACACCAATGTACGTGTGTATAACAGATAAACCTTTACAAAAACCTAAAAGAAAAACAAATGCATGCGGGCCATTATGAGGCTCAGCCTTCCCACACACTTAACAAGAGACACATTTCGGCTTCTCGGTAACCCGGAGAGGCAGATCGTGCGTTAGACAAGGTCGCCGGGGGCCTGGCACTTGAACCCAATTCTCTCAGTCCAAGTTGAATACTATTACATGTTGATTCTAAAATCTCTTTTTGGTGGTATGCAGTCAGCATTTTATTCCTGTTTTCATTTCCCAAATCAGAAATTTGAAACCTGTGTCCTTACTGAAAAAGGCACAATTGGAAAATACTTATTTTTAAGGCAACAGAAGGAGTAAGTGTCAAGGACACCGATGGGGAGGCCGGTTGATGTCCAAGTGGCACTACTAAGAGACCCTTAAACTGTCAAACTAACCAGAGATTTTAAATCATTCAGCTGGTCGAATAAATTTTACGAGTGTCTGTACAATCCATTACCACCAGTGAAATACTGAAGTTGAGGTTTTTGTTTGTTTGTTTGTTTTAGGTTAAGATGAGGAAAATCTCCAGCTAAAACATTATGATTCTTCTACTCTTACCTGAACCCACGGAAGAGCACAGAGTCAGAAGAATACCAGAGAGCAGTGTGTGGAAGGGCCCAGGATCCGAATGCATAGCGCCAGGTTACAGAAGCGGGTGGACAGATTTCCGGAGCAAAATCCAGGTCTTGGCTCACTGAAAAACAATCAAAGAAAAGAATTCTAAACCACAAAAACAGCTGAACTCATTCATCTGAATAGTCAATAGGGTTGTGAGCATAATCCCTTATCTCCCCAACTCAAAAACTAATCTCTAGATGCTAAATTACAACTAGAAGTTCTGCTCATGCTTCCAAGGTGTTCGGATACCTCTTATTACCCAGAAGCCATCATTCCAAAGAATACATTCAACAGCCTGTAGTGCATTTGCTTCATGTCTCACAAGCATCTACAACTCAACACAATAAAAATGCACTCTTCTACATTACTTAAAACAGATTTTTTAAAAAAAATAGCTAACACTTGCATAATGCTTAGGACGTGCCAGACACCATTTTACTTCATCTTCACAGCAACCCTATGAAATAGGAACTACTGGTTTTCTTCCCTTTTTTCAGATGCGGGGCTCGGACTCGTGGATGTTCAGAGAACACCAAGTGCACACCCGTGTTGGGGATGCAGGCCATTCAGCACGTTTGCAGAGGATCCAAAGACCAGGGTGGCGAGAGCAGGATGAGCCAGGAAAAGAGCCCAGAAGGGAAGCTGGGCCAGATCCTACCCAGCTTTGAAAGACATGGTAAAGGTTTTGGAACTGGTGAAAAAGGTGGAAGGGATTAAGAAGTACAAATTGCAAAAAAAAAAAGTACAAATTGCTAGTTATAAAAACAGTCAGAGAGATGTAAAGCACAGCATAGGGAATATCATAAAAAAATACTGTAATAACTATGTATGCTGTCAGATGGGTACTAGGTAGGGTGATCACTTTGTAAGGTACATAAAGTGTCTAATCGCTATGTTGTATACCTAAAACTAATGTACTATTGTATGTCAACTGTAATTGAAAAATAAATTTAAAAAACTTTGGATATTCTCAATGTGGTGGCAAGCCCTGAAAGGACTTAGGGACATGGTGTGACGGCATCTCATTTATGCTCTACAGAGATCCCTGGCTGGAAGGGACTAGACTGAAATGGGGCAGGAATGAAGAGGGACAGCAAGTAGAGAAATGTAATCCCTCAGGACAGAGAAGAAGAATGTGGTGGGTTAGACTGGGGAGTCAACTGTGGGGGTGGTGAAAAGTAATTGGACTCAAAACATTTGCTAGAGTCAACAACATTTGCTAAAGCCTTGGGTATAGAATGTGAGATAAAGAGATGTGCTAATAGTTTTGGCTTAAAAATAATAGCTCTGTTTACTGAAATGGGGGAGACTAGAGGCCATGGAGATGGGATTAGTCAACCGTGCTTGCTCTAGCCAAGTTCAGTCTAAGATATCTGTGAAGCAGTCCCATGGTACTGTCGATTGACAATGACGTAGTGGAGCCTGGGGCTGTGCAGTAAGTCGGAGCTGGAAATGCAGATGTTAGACCTATAAAAACCAAGGCACTGAATGAGCTCTCTCTGAGGGAAACGAGAGAAGAGGAGAGACCTACTAGGCGCCTTGGGACATTCCAGAGTTTGTAGACTGAACAGCGGGGAAGAAAGGAGCCATGGAGACTGAGAAGTCATCAATGAAATTGGAAGAAATCTGGGAGAATGTTGTGCCGGGGAGAAAAACATTTGAAAAATATTTCTAGAAGAGTCATGAAATCTCTCAGTCACTTCTGAGAGGCAGAGTAAGATGAGACACCATGGGGAAGACATCAGAGAGGTCACTGGTGATGCTGATGAGAGGGGTTTGGATGGAGGCTCCAGGGGCGCCTGGCGGTGGGTTCACAATGGAACAGGAGGGGAGGGAACGAGGAAAGCGGGCCCAGAAAACTCAAGGCTTTCGCTATAAAAGGGCAAGAGAAGAACGCGGAGGAATAGGGAGAACTGATGGGGGTGAATGGTGGTCATGGGAAGGCTGGCTCGTTTGCGTGGGGTTTTTAGTACAGAGATAAGTCCAGCAATTTGGCAAAGCTGAAAGTGCTTCCTTCCCCGTGCCACACACTTCAAAATCTACGGGTAGCGAATTCCACTTTATCCCGCTCACGAACTATCAGTTCATGGACTGCCTTTCTCATTTTTTCTTGCTGACCTCTTCTTAAAAACGAGGGAGGATATTTTGGTTACCACTCGTGGGAAGAAAGGGCCATCTGTGTGAAACTTTTTTTTTTGGTTTATTTGAATTCATATTTGCGTCAAGGGTAAGAACTGACACACCACTGCTAAGCAGTCAAGCAAAGTAAACATTCAAATAACTTGCTAACAGGAGCCACTTTCCTGAGAGAATGAGGACAAGTAGGAGTGTTTCCTCCTTTTGCCAAATCTTTCCTCAAGTATTTATTTATTGAAAAGCAGGAGGAAAAATTCCTGAGTCAACTTTAACCTCAACATGCGATCGACTGAGTTTACTCTACAGCTATCCTTTAAAATGCCACAGCTCATTACTGCTACCTAAGTATCAGCACACAGGGATATACTTTATTAATTCTATTAGGTTTCTTACAACACACTGTCCATTTTTAATTTCATGTTTATTTTTCTATTACAGTTGATGTATATAGTTTGAGGCATACAACATAGTAATTAGACATTATATAACTAAGTGATCACCCTGGTAAGTCCAGTACCCATATGGCACCATAACATAGTTACTAAAATTTTGTGGACTATATTCCCTATGCTGTACTTTACATCCCCATGACTATTCTGTGACTACCAATCTGTAGTTCTTAATCCCCTCTCCTTTTTCACCCAGAGCCCTAACTGTCTCCCATCTGGCAACCATCAAAATGTTCTCTGTCCAGTCTGTTTCTGTTCTGTGTTCATTCATTTTGTTGCATAGATTCCACAAACAAGATCATCTGGCATTTACCTTTCTCTGTCTTATTTCACTCACTTATTCCACAGCCTCTATGTCCATCCATGTCACTACGGATGCAAGATTTCATTCTTTTTTATGGCTGAGTCATACTTCACTGTATATAGGCACTACTGCTACTTCCTCCATCCATCTACTGCTGGACACTTAGGTTGCTTCCGTATCTTGGCTATTGTAAATAATGCTGCAACGAATATAAGACATATACTTTTTTTCAAATTAGTGTTTTGGGTTTCTTCAGTTAAATACCCAGGACTGAAATTACTGGGTCCTTCTTTGTCTCTTGTTATAGCCTTTGTTTTAAAATCTGTTTTTTTTTTTTTGTCTAGTACAAAATTGCTACCCCACCTTTAAAAATTATTTTGTTTTCATTTTCATGAAATATCTTTTTCTATCCCTTTACTTTCAGTCTGTGCATGTATTTTGATCTGAGGTGGGTGTCTTGTAGGCAGCATAAGGGTCTTGTTTTCTTATTCCTTCAGCCACCCTGTGTGTTCAAATTGGAGTATTTAATCCATTTGCATTAAAAGTAATTGCTCATTGACACCTATTTATTGCCATTTTATTATATTTTTTATCTTTTTCTTCTTCTCCATCTTCTTCAAAAAGACCCTTTAACATTGCTTAGAATACTGGTTTGGTGGCGGTGAACTCCTTCAGCTTTTTCTTGTCTGGGAATCTCTTCGTCTGTCCTTCAGTTGTAAATCATAGCTGGGTAGAGTAGACTTGGCTATAGGTCCTTGCTCTTTATCACTTTGAATATTTCATGCCAATGCCTTCTGGCCTGCAAAATTTCTGTTGAGATCAGCTGACAATCTCATGAGGGCTCCCCTGTCAGTAACTATCTGCTTTTCTCTCCATGTTTTTAAGATTCTTTGTCTTTGACTTTCAGCATTTTAATTATGATGTGTTTTGGTGTTGGCCTGTTTGGGTTCATTTTGTTTGGGACTCTCTGTGCTTCCTGGACTTGTATGTCTATTCCCTTCACCAGGTTAGGGAAGCTTTCTGTCATTATTTCGTCAACTAGGTTTTCAATTCCTTGCTCTCTCTCTTCTCCAGCACTCCCGTGATGAGAATGCTGGCATGCTTGAAGTTGTCTTTAAAGTATCCCTTTTTTTTAGATTTTTTTCTTTTTTGCTGTTCTGATGGGCTGTTTTCTGCTTCCTTAACTTCAAGTTCACTGATTTGATCCTGTTTCATCTACTCTACTGTAATTCCTGTAATGTATTCTTTTCAGTTACTACATTCTTCCATTTCTGATGGTTCTCTTTTATGTTTTCTAACTCCATTTTTGTCTCCTACCTCTTTGTTAAAGTTCTCATTGAGGTCATTGGGCATCCTTATAACTGATGTTTTGAACTGGGCATTTGGTAGATTGCTTGTCTCTGTTTTGTCTAGTTTTTTTTCTGGACTTTTGTTCTGTTCATTCATTTGGGATACATCTCTTTGTCTCCTCATTTGGCTGTCTCCCTGTGTTTGTTGCTACAAATTAGGTAGGGCTGCTACATCTCTCAGTCTTATAAAATGGCCTGACGTAGTAGGTGTGTCCTGTAGGGCCCAGAGGCACAGCCTTCCAAGTTACCCAATCTGGGCACTCCAAGTGCACCCCCAGTTTAAGCTGTGTCCACATTCCTGTTATGGTTGAGCCTTGATTGCTCTTGGTACATCAATGGGAGGCACTAAACCCCAGGCCAATGGGCTGAGAGAAGTAGCTGCAGCCCTAACAGAGGAGCTGCTGTGCATCCCCCAGAGCAGGAGTTACTTCGGCAGGGCTCTAGTGCCCAATAAGCCTGTCCCTTAAGTGTGTCTCTGCTGGAGGTGGTAGATGGTGCTCTGGTGTGGTCTGAAGCTGGCAAGATCAGCTGCTACCCAAGCCCTGTCCAAGGTCACCTGGCATGAGCTACAAGGCAATATGCAAATGGCTGGTTCTTGTGCTAGGTTGAAGGTGCCCAGGAAAGGCCAAGGTGTGAACTGAGGCTGACTACTACTAGTGCTAGGCCTGGGGCCATTTAGCAAGAGATACAGGGCACACTGAGGCCAGCTACTGCTTATTTGGAGTTTGTGAATCTTTGATAGAAAGATTTTAGGAAAGTCTAAAGAATGGGCCAAGACAGGCTGTTTGCATGGAAAAGCCACTGGAAATTGCTTGCATGGGCCTGTAAATTGGGTGGA